GACAGGACAAAGCATGCAGAGAACAAAATGCAATTCTGCACGTGATTGGTCAATTAGCAACTTTCCTTCCCTTATCTGATTGGCCAAGATCTGGAAAAATATTCTATTCTTCTGATCGTCTTAGCAAAAGGTACAGAAGTATAATTAACTAGTGTCCCATAACTGATTTCGACAATGACCCTGGGAGGAAATTCCTCATAAAGATCCAGGATAGTGATAGCTGCAGTAACATACCTTGCCATAATTTAAATCAACATTTATATTCTAGTAAGCTCACAGTTCAAGAACTAAAATATCTTGTATTGTGCCCCATAGTCATATTTATAACAGCAATTAGAATTTAGTGAGAGCAAAAGAAATCTACTCTCCTTCATTTCTAGGATGGACTGTAACGTGTAGGAAGGGGAATGGTTTGCCCAGAAGTTTAAAGATGTTGACTCAAGACATCTATGAGCTCATCAATCAATGAAGAGCTGATTCAGACATGCCATTAATGATGTTAAATGCTTTCCTTCTGGAGAAGATGAAGCAGGAGACAAGATACTGTTTTGTTATCAGGCTGAATAGAAATGTGGATACTGCAAAAATGAAGGTTATTAATGAGATTTAAAATCAGGAGGAACAATTGTAAAACAGCCTAATCTATGACCCTAAGAACTGTTCCTGCAAATCGGCCAATTCAACCAAAGTTTAGAACTGCCTCTCGTGGATTTAATTTCTGTTGGTAACTTTGATAAAGATGATCATCTGATGTCTGGATAGCACCTGCTTCTCTTTGTATCATTAATAAGCTTCATAAAATCTGATGAATCAGCATTAAGTATTGATGATGATATAAAAGAGAGTATGAAATATACCATACCATTGGAGTTGTCTTTCTGTTCTTCTCTTTTATATCGACACCAATCCTGAGTTAATGCGGATTCCTCTGATTTTTTGAAGAAAGAAAACCTCCAGTTGAATCTTTGCTGTTATCCAACTAGCTGCACCTCCAAATTTGGACTTATTGATTTTACTTTGCATATTTTCCATATTAGTTGCTCATTAGCCGTCCATTTTTATTTTGGATAAATTGGCTCTGTTTTTTAATATATCTATACTGTAATTTAGTCACTACCTGACCCTTTTTTGTTTTTTATTCTTGCATTCATGTCAGGCTGACCTACCTAACATTTGGGAGGACCCATCCCTTCCTAAGAGGGGCTGTCCCCTTTGGGCACCTTTCCTCCCCCCCCACCTCCCTTCCACTAGAGGCACGATTTACAGGATGCCGAAGTTGGGAGGTATGCATTATGATCACTGACATGCATATATAAAACCATATGAACACACATACATTTATGTTTATGTCAATTTTGTTATATCACGCAGGAATGTGGCATGTGTGCATCTGTGTACAAATGTATACATTCTATATGAAACCATTTCTATATACATTTGTGTAGAATTCAGAAGTGAATTTATGGTGAATTGTGTCCTTAAATTTGGAATTCCAAACAATTCTCACTTTATAAACCTGTGTATGTCTAGGTTGTCGATAGCTGTATAGGCAATCATGAGTATTTTAGCGTGAATGTACAGTACTGTGCAAAAGTCTTGAGCCACCATTATATTTGTTGTTTTAGCAATGGTCTAAATGATACCAATTTTTGGGAAGGAGAACAGGGTAAAAAGGCTACGGTGTGCAAAGATTGGAATATATACCCTTCCACCAGTGTCATCTCCAGGATTCATACATAAGGGGCAGGGACAAAAGTAGGGGGGCAGTTATAAAATGAATATATGTATATAGATATACATACACTCACACAAATGCATACACAGGGCTCGACAAATTCCAGGCACCAGACATTTGTCAGTCCTTTGCTAAGCCGCACAGAAAAAAAGTAAAAGCTGGGCTGCCGCGGGGAGCATGGAGGCAGCGCACAAGGGAGCAGTGACGTTCCTGCAGGAAGCAGGGGAGTAGAAAGAAACTACAGGATGACTGGGAGGAGACACACTGGACACCAGGGAAAGATCCACCCAGCTCTTCCAAAGGCTGGGTGGATTTAAATTAAAATAAAAATAGCAATTTGGGAGTGTGTGAGAAAATGTGTGCATGTGGGTATATTTGTCTCAGTCAGTGTGTGTCTCAGTCAGAGAGTGTGTGCCTGTCACTGTATGTCTGTCGGAATGTGTGTATGTCAGTCAGTGTGTGCCTGTCACTGTATGTCTGTCACAATGTGTGTATGTCTGTCAGAATGTGTGTATGTCAGTCAGTGTGTGCCTGTCACTGTATGTCTGTCACAATGTGTGTATGTCTGTCAGAATGTGTGTATGTCAGTCAGTGTGTGCCTGTCACTGTATGTCTGTCACAATGTGTGTAGGTCTGTCAGTGTGTGTCTCAGTCAGAGAGTGTGTGCCTGTCACTGTATGTCTGTCGGAATGTGTGTATGTCAGTCAGTGTGTGCCTGTCACTGTATGTCTGTCAGAATGTGTGTATGTCTGTCAGAATGTGTGTATGTCAGTCAGTGTGTGCCTGTCACTGTATGTCTGTCACAATGTGTGTATGTCTGTCAGAATGTGTGTATGTCAGTCAGTGTGTGCCTGTCACTGTATGTCTGTCACAATGTGTGTATGTCTGTCAGTGTGTGTCTCAGTCAGAGAGTGTGTGCCTGTCACTGTATGTCTGTCGGAATGTGTGTATGTCAGTCAGTGTGTGCCTGTCACTGTATGTCTGTCAGAATGTGTGTATGTCTGTCAGAATGTGTGTATGTCAGTCAGTGTGTGCCTGTCACTGTATGTCTGTCACAATGTGTGTATGTCTGTCAGTGTGTGTCTCAGTCAGAGAGCGTGTGCCTGTCACTGTATGTCTGTCGGAATGTGTGTATGTCAGTCAGTGTGTGCCTGTCACTGTATGTCTGTCAGAATGTGTGTATGTCAGTCAGTGTGTGCCTGTCACTGTATGTCTGTCGGAATGTGTGTATGTCAGTCAGTGTGTGCCTGTCTCTGTATGTCTGTCAGAATGTGTGTATGTCTGTCAGTGTGTGTCTCAGTCAGAGAGTGTGTGCCTGTCACTGTATGTCTGTCAGAATGTGTGTATGTCTGTCAGTGTGTGTCTCAGTCAGAGATTGGGGGCGGAGCTTGCGTATGGTTTGCCGATCTTCCATGCAGGGGCAGAGCTTGTGTGCCGGGGAAGCTGCTGCACAGTGGCGGAACCAACATAGAGAGGGCCCTGGTGGTACAAAAACAGTTTTGGACCCCTGAAGACACATGCCCATTGGTTAGCCCTAATTGCACAAGCCACTCGATGGGCTATGGTGTAACCGCAATACCAGCACTGGTTACAGGCAAGATATCTTTTCACAGAAACTGGAAAACCTTTTCAGGAGATGCAAGATCATTTTCCATGGTGTTTAGAAGGGGCTGTGGTGAAGTGTGTGTATAGAGGAGTCTGTTTATGGTGTACTATGTGTAACTAGGGGCTGTAGTGTGAGCACGCACTCATGTATAGGAGCTTTTAAGATTGTGTGTGTGTGTGCTGAAAGGGCCTGTAAAGGGTGTGCGTGTGCATCTAGGGGCTGCATTGTGAGTGTATGTGTATTGGGGTTGCATTGTGTGCTTATCAAGGAGCTGTAGTTATTATATATATATATATATATATATAGATATATATATATATCCTATATATTCAGTGTGTAATGGGTGGAGGATGTATGTATGTATGTATGTATGTGTGTGGGGGGGTGAAGGTATGTGGGGAGGAAGTGTGTATGTAGGTGAAGAGATGATGTGTGTGAGGGGTGCACTGTGTGTATATGCAAAGGTGTTGGTGGGAGTGTACTGTATGTGGGGGGTTCATTGTCTGTGAGGGTGTACTGTGTTCAGGGGTGTGTAGAGAGTGAGATAGGGACGAGATTTACAATTTTTAATTTAATTGTTTAAAAAAAAAAAAAAAAGAATATTCCCCTTTCCCTCATCTTACCTTGCAGGGAGGGGGTGGCACAATCAGATCCGTGGTGATTGAGAAGGTTGCCTATCCATTGGGTACAAGGGAGGTCACGAGATGAGAGGTATATCTCTTGGATCTCAAGCACTTACACAGACTGACCCATACAAACCCACAGACTGACCCATACACATACACAGACTGACCCATACAAACCTACAGACTGACCATCCACACAGACTGACTCATACACATACACACACACACACACACACACACACACACACACAGACTGCCCCACACACACAGACTGACCCATACACACAGACAGACTGACCCATACACACACAGTTTGACCCCCCCACACACACACAGACTGACCCATACACACACACAGACTGCTCCCCCATACAGACTGGCCCATACATACACAGTCTGACCTCCCCCACACACACAGCTTGACCGATACACAGACTGACCCCCTTCACACACACATACTGACCCCACACAGACTGTAGTGTGTGAATGCATAGTGCAGTATGGGAATGCATAGTGTAGTGTGTGAATGCATAGTGCAGTATGGGAATGCATAGTGTAGTGTGTGAATGCATAATGCAGTATGGGAATGCATAGTGTAGTGTGTGAATGCATAGTGCAGAATGGGAATGCATAGTGTAGTGTGTGAATGCATAGTGCAGTATGGGAATGCATAGTGTAGTGTGTGAATGCATAATGCAGTATGGGAATGCATAGTGTAGTCAGGGACGTATTAGCCGCGAGGCAAACAAGGCATTTGCCTTGGGCGGCATTTTTCAGGGGGCGGCAAAAAACGCCGCCCCCCAAATGCCCAGGGCAGATGCCTTGTTAGCCTTGCGGCTAACTGACATCCCGGGCGGCCGGCGAGGGAGCACTTCCCATGAGCTGACTGCTCAGCTCCCTCGCGCACCGCAAAGTGAGGCTGGGAGCCGGAAGATGACGTCATCTTCCGGTTCCCAGCCTCACTCTGCAGCCGACGCGCGAGGGAGCTGAGCAGTTAGCTCATGGGAAGTGCTCCCTCGCCGGCCGCCCGCCCGCCTGCCAGCGCCGCCCGCCCTGCAGCCACTGGACCACCAGGGAGAGAGACCCCCCCCTCCCCCCCCAGCACTCCCAAAGGTAAGGAGGTTGGGGGGGGATTTAAATTTAAAAAAAAGTTAGTGTGTGTGTGTGTGTTTGTGAGTGTGTGTGTGACTGTGTTTGTGTCTGTGTATGTGTCTGACTGTGTGTGTATGTGACTGTGTGTGTTTGTGTCTGACTGTGTGTGTATGTGTGTGTGTGTGTGTCTGACTGTGTGTGTATGTGTGTGTGTGTGTGTGTGTATGTACGCATCGCGTGTCTGTGTGTTTGCGTGTGTTTGTGTCTGACTGTGTGTGTGTGTGTGTCTGTGCGTGTGTGCGTGTATGCGTCTGACTGTGTGTGTGTGTATGCACTGACTGTGTGTGTGTGTATTTAGAAGGTGGGGCGGGGGGAAGGGTTGGGTGGGGGGGGGAGGGGGGGCGCCTGAGTTTTGTCCTGCCTAGGGCAGCACAAAACCAGGATACACCACTGAGTGTAGTGTGTGAATGCATAGTGCAGTATGGGAATGCATAGTGTAGTGTGTGAATGCATAGTGCAGAATGGGAATGCATAGTGTAGTGTGTGAATGCATTGTGCGTTATGGGAATGCATAGTGTAGTGTGTGAATGCCTGATAAGTGCATTCTCCAGGGCTGCACCTATTCTGTGGAACTCCCTTCCCTCCTCAATCAGACTTTCACCCAGCCTCCACTCCTTCAAAAAAATCTTTGAAAACTCACTTCTTCATTAAAGCGTATCAATTAAACTGTCAGCAGGTTTCTCATCCCCCACCCCATGACTCCGTTCCTGCACCTGTCAAAAATGACCTACCAAGCACTCAATAAACCCTTCTGTAACAAACTATTTAATTCCCCTACTTTAACCCTTTGTGTCACTATACCCCACTCCCTCTAGCATGTAAGCTCATCGAGCAGGGTCCTCAACCCCCTCTGTTCCTGTACGTCAGTGGTCTGATCTCAATTATGTGTCTGTTAGTCCACCCATTGTACAGCGCTACGGAATTTGTTGGCGCTATATAAATAATAATAATAAGTGCATTGTCTCTTTACATGCCCCTGCCTCCTTTATATGGTGGGAAAATTCCCCTCGCAAACACCATTTACACACAATGCTATATGGAAATAGTTCTCTACCCAATACCATTTACATATGACTTAGCTAAGTCATCCCCTCCTCACTTCCCGCATCCAGTTTTTGCCCTGTTCACCAAGGTTTCTGGGTCAACATATGATATCTACATATTAAAAGGGGAATTAAGTGCTTCCCTGTAGTATGTAGATTCCCATATACTGCAAGCAGGAAATCAATTAATTAAAAAAGGAAGAATGTCAAACTATCAGCCTGAAATAAGATGGAAAATCAATTACTTAATTAAGGAGGAATCCTAAAATAATTATCTAGCTTAGTTAATTGCTTTCCCTCCTGCAGCACCTGACTGATACATAGAAGAGGGCCACGGATATATTTTTATTATAATTATTACTTTTATAAAGCACCAATATATTCCGCAGCAGTACAAATGAGGAAAATAATCAGTACAGCATAGATAATGCAGTAAAAAGCAATAGAGGGTCCTTCCATAATCTGGCATTTACAGACATTCTATTATGCATACTTAGCTAGAGAGCCCATGAGCTTACAATCTAAAGTATGGATTGACAGACATTGTGGAGACATGACTATATAGGTGTCTATCTAAGAGTATAAATGGCATGATAAAATGTACCCTAAAAAATAAATTATATATCTTACTGCCACCCACCCACGATCGTAAGGGCCCAGACGGGACATACTTGTGTATAAGGGAGGATAGATAGGTGGGAGCAGCATTATGTAGCGATTTGAAAGCAAGAACCAGAATTTTAAATTGAGCTTTATATTTTATAGGAAGCCAATGTAGGGACGGACAGAAGGGTGAGGCATGGGAGGTGCAGGCGGACAGGAAGTTGAGCCTCGCCGCCGCATTCATTATGGACTGTAACGGCGCAAGTTGGGAGCACGTAAGACCACTGAGAAGCGGAAAGGCGAGAAAGGATGGTGGAATGGACCAACACCTTAGTCGCATCTGGCGTTAAGTAGGGGCGGATGCATTGTCTTAGCTATTGTAACTGTTCGAGAAGACGTGATGGTTTATCTTGCAAGTCTTATCAGTAACT